CATTCAAACAATCAAAAAGAAAAGAAAATAGAATGAAACAAACTTAAGAAATAAAATGTAATACAAATTATTTTGCCCATGTGACATGCATAATTTTATATTTTCTGTTCCAGTACAGTGCTTCAATCAAGAGATATGCATGTTGTGACCCTGTGACACTGGCTTCTCAATGTGTTTCCCCTTTCCAAGTGATTGGCTGCAGGTTTAAAAAGAACAAGCCTCATCTTCTTCAGTGAGAGAGGGAGACCAGAGGAGAGATGCTGGCATTGTGGGCCCTGTTCTCCAGTCTCGCTGCCGCTCCTGACTTGATGACACCTGTTGTTTTATTAAGTGTTTAGTCGTTGTCRAGTCTGGGAGTCACCGGCTACCCTTTTAAGGTTTGTGGTTGCAGGGTCAGATCCTGGGCCACAAGGTGAGAGGAGTGGTTGCTCCAATGGTCAGCTGCTGGCTGGTTTGGGGGCACACTCTCCTTTTTGTTTGTTTTGGCCATAGTTCCCAGCTTTCTCTTTGTTCAGACTGATGTTTAGGGAAAAAATGTTTTCTTTAAATGCTAACTGTCTGGGGTTATCACTGTAACAAATACACTGTCTCAAAGGATGTAAYGGACTCGAGGTAGATCCACATTTAMTCAAAAAGAGGCAAACACTGCACTTTTACGCTGCAGCAGTCGTTTTCATTCATCCTGGCTTCTGCACAAAAACGAAAGCTGCTTATGGCTCTAAGGTTTAAAGTCCTGAGAGGTTAGATCCAAACACATTTCAATGTTTTAATCTTTCAGGACAGAACTTTAAAATCCAGAAACATGTTATTTTTCTAACCACCTGCCAMCAAAGGTGATAAAGCTTTAGCTCATATATGAGGTCTTAACAAAATATGTAGTGAACCACTGGACAGATTTAAATGGAAAATTCAGAAAGTATTATTTTATTAATTTTTTTATTTGTATATTTCTGGAGACAGAACTTTGGTCAACTTTTAAACAGTTGTGAGGATGTGTAGAATGACCCAGGGCGCAGGCAGGATCCAAAGTGCATTTGATTTATTGATTCAATAGGAAAAGATTATTAAAAATCAAGCCTGACTCAGCATAATTACTGTTTTACAGCAGGTTCCTGTCCTGCAGCACATAAAA